CCTCCAGAGTCCAGTCTTTATGCTCCCCAGTAAACTGAAGCCTTGTTTCCAGTTAGCCTTACTGATTAGTGTTATTCTTAAGGCTACACAGCTGTTCAGTCTCACACTGCCATGGGAATTCAAAGGACGCCATGTGTACTCTACTGCTGGGGCAACACACTATAGCAAATCCACCATGTTAGCAGACCACAGTGTTGACCAGCACTAGGATTAGCTGCTCCTCCACCTCGAATAGCTGTCCCAGACTCCAACAACAATAATAACAAAAATAATAACAGTGATAAAAAAATGACAACAATGAGAGTACTAAAAAAAGATTTACAACAACAACAATGAAAATAATAATGATAATGATAACAACAACAATAATAATAATCACAACAACAATGATCGAGATAACAACAACAGCAATTATGATAACTACAACAATAATTACGACAGCAGCAACAACAACAATAATAATAATAAAACTATAATAATATAAATAATAATATCAGTCTTTCTTACCTTCCCATCTCTCTCTCTCTCTCTCTCTCTCTCTCTCTCTCTCTAAACCCCGCTCAGGCTCAGCAGACAACTGTCTAACATCAGTCTGGTTCTGCTCAAGGTTTCTACCTGTTAAAGGAAGTTCCTCCTCCCCACTGTAACTTGATAGATGCTGCAAAGTGTTTCGCACATCTTGTTGGGTCTTGGTAGATAAAATGAATAGTATGGTCTACACCAGCACTTTTGGAAAGCATCATGAGATTGGGCTATTAAATAAAATTTGTTTGACTGTTAACCATCTCACCCACATAGTTTTTGAAGCAGGCCTCTTCCTGAGTGTATTAAAGATGGACCCTTTTGTCAAATACTCAGCCTAAATGTGTTGTTATATGTGTGTTCACAGGAGCTGCTAATTTATAATTCATAATAGCTGCTAATTTTTTCCTATGTTTAACTAGTAAAATATCCTCAAATTTTATTTTCTTGGCTTGTAAACTTTATATGTCACGGTTTACTGACAGAGACTTTGAAAACTTACAATAAAACAGATTGCAAAAAAAAGCTTTGTGCATTTTTTATTCATACTAGTAACCTATAAAAACTAATGTATCACAGATGTGTCATATCATCTTCTCCACGAGACAGAGTGTTGTTTGCAAAGGAGCCTGTTGTATATAACAGTATTAAACTCAATGCGGATAAGACTAATGTGTCTTACTCTTAAGAACCTCTTAAGACCTCAGGTCTGAGCCTGATTACAGAGTTAGCTTGTGCTTTCAGACTGCTCATCTATCCATCTATGCATTAGCTACACCCCTGATCCATAAAGAGTCAAGGAGGGCGAAGCCGATCTAATCTGAGTCTGGATGAGATGTAGGGTACACCCTGAGCAGCTGACAGGGAGAGGCTGACCCAGCGGAGTCTTTCTCAGCGGCGGAGCAAACACTCCTCATGGAGTTGTACGAAGAGTACAAGGGAAAAATTCAAAAGAAGGGAAACACTGTTGCCATTGTGAAAGCCAGGGAGATGGCATGGTTAAGTATCGCGGACCGTTTAGATTTGTAAATTATAGCCGACAAATATTTTACAACCGACGCATGTCTCGATGCAGTCAGCCTGCTTGGCTGTCTAATTTTATTCCTCACTGCGTATGTACTGTAAACACTTTAACTTTTCATCTCATGTATGTGCAGCTCACTCATACAGTCTGTCAGCCTCTGTGCAGCACCTTCGCAGCAAGCAGGGGCGCCTACAGCAGCAGGGGGCGCCAATTTGACAAGAGTTAATACAAAACCGCTTTGCGGTGCAGATTTATTGTTATCTTTTTTCTTTCTTTTTTGGAAGTGCTCGTGCCACCCCCCATGAGTCATGACACAAATGCCGCCCCGGGCGGCTGCCCGGTTCGCCCGTGCCAAGAACCGCTACTGCACTGTAGGCATAATTCATGTTTTTGATTTGACAAATAGATATCCATAATGGATTAGTATAGCAGCTACAGGTAAGACCTAAAACCAAAGCAGGCAAACTTAGACAAAAAGTGAAGAAAAACATGTACCTGGAGATGTCTTTTTTTTAATCTTTCTTTCTTTTTTTTTATTAGGGATGATAGTGGCACAGCGCTATTCATTTAAATAAGGGAGAAGACACAAATGAGCTTGTACACAGAGTAGTCATGTCGTCATTTGCCATCACTTTTACATTATCATCGTCATAATCAGAATGGACCACTGGTGAAAGGAAAGTTATTTTAATGGGAAATTGTTGCTGTTGTCACCTTCAGTGTTTTGGATGAGATCATTTGTGCCTTTATTCTGTTATGTGTTGACAGTACATTGAGAGTCACAGAATAAAAGAAAGAAAAGCAGATATTTCCAAATAATTACCGCTGACGGGATCAAACTCACAGAGCAGTGAAAAACACATTTTACCGGCACTTCTCTTTACCCACTCAGCTACTGAATTTCTCTTTCTCTGTGAGGTTGGTGTAGTATTGGGCATGTCCGGATTCACGTATTCCTGTGTTGTTTTAAAAAGTTTCCGAACAAGAGCATCATTTATTACAGATGAAGATGAAATTACTGTGTGATATGCGGTTCACAAAGCGTCTTCTGGAAACCCGTCGGACCTTCTCTGAGACGCAGCTAAGGTTGGCTTGGTCGTAAGCCTGCCTGGGACCAGGCTTGTCACGCTGGCTGAGTTACCATGGTTACCAAGCCACGCTAGACCTAAGCCTCATTTGTGGAACCAAACTCTCACTAAAATTAGCCAAGCTAACCGAAATATGCCAGGCTTTGAGCTAAGCCAGCTTCGTGGAATACCCCCCAGGCTGTAATATTCTTTATTTTGTTGTAAATATGGATTTTAGTAAAAGCTCGAGTAGGTACGCATTGACTGTCGGGGGCCAGTCTCTAGTGGACGCTTTAAGAACTGCTGTGCTTCATGATGAGCAGAGAGCAAAGGCACCGTGAAGTGTCCTGCAGAAATGCAGCAGAAATGTATTATCAGGAGAAAACAAGCTTTGGTATCTCAAGGTAATGGGATAATGAGATAAGTTTGATCTGTTAAAATTGGACAACCTGCTTTTTTTTGCAGAGATCAGAAGAAAAGTAGGCCGAGATCCTTCTAATAATTCAAATGTTAAAGTTATAATGTATGTAAATAACTATTGTTAACATGAATGAATACATGTCTGCTTCCTTCTGGCCCAGTGGTACTTTTCCACAAACGGAGTGTGTTTGTGATGATGCATCATCCAATTAGCTTTATTCACATAAGCCGCCAAAATAAACTTGGAGCTCAGACTTTGAGAAGCTGACCTGCTGGCTCAGTCACATCCACTTGACGTCCAAGCCAGCCATGATGATGGGGGTTGGATAAGTTAATGTCTGCTGTCTGTGCTTTATCTCATCTCATCAACATTTGTCTCTTGACTGACAGAACACATTCCAGAGACTCTGAGGCTGTGTCTCATTTCAGAGACCGCATCGGGCTAAGTGCACTTCTGCACCGTCGAACGGTGCATTTGAAGCATGCATGACGTCATGACGGCGCAAACGGTGTCCCATTTGGCACGAGATGCTAAGAAATGCTAAGCGCGCTTAGCATTTTTTCAAGCGTGCATTTATGCACGCTTTCGTGCCGTCGGTATCCCAGAATGCTCTGCGTGCCACTGCACAGCTGCGCATTTCAGGTGAGAGGCCGGACTCGCTTGGAGACACAGCGCGTCTTTAAAGAAAATACAAGAAATCCAAAAACAGCAGACCGTCAGCCTAGGCTCATACTCCTTCATACAAAACAATCATTGGATTAATTTTGTGGGAATAATCTTTGCTTGTATGTATCTACTATTTTGTGTCTGTGCAAGGTCGCACAATTAAAACCATAAATGATGCGCTCCGCAGCTTTTTTTTTCTAGTCAGTCGTGACGTAAGCCTGAGGGCGGGGACATTTGGAGACCTTCGGAGGACTTCCTGGTTGAGTCGCCAAATGTCCCCGCCCTCAGGCTCGCGTCACGACTGACTTAAAGAAAACCCGCGGAGCGCAGCATTTATTTTTGAATTGTGTGACCACGCACAGACACAAAATAGTAGCTACATACAAGCACAATTAATCCAATGATTGTTTTGTATGAAGGAGTATGAGGGCCATATTGAGATTTAAGACTTTAAAGACTTTGAGATTTAAGTCGTGAATTTACGAGAATAAAGTCATTAATTTATGAGAATAAAGTTATAAGGTTCCCTGGTATTTCAGAGAGACTTGTTAAAATTAGGGCCATGAAGCATTTGAAGGAACTGTGCTTCAGTATAGGTTTCACAAACAAGGAGATACTTCATCCTCTGGCACATTAGCATCACATTGTCATAAATATAAAGACTTAAAAAAAAGAATATATGAGAAATATGCCTTTCCACAGGAAAAAAAACTGGTGTACTGGAAGGAAATCGCTGCTTTTGTGGAGGCAGAAAAGAATATGCTGCGGATATACACTCACCGGCCACTTTATTAGGTACACCATGCTAGTAACGGGTTGGACCCCCTTTTGCCTTCAGAACTGCCTCAATTCTTCGTGGCATAGATTCAACAAGGTGCTGGAAGCATTCCTCAGAGAGCTTGGTCCATATTGACATGATGGCATCACACAGTTGCCACAGATTTGTCGGCTGCACATCCATGATGCGAATCTCCCGTACCAGCACATCCCAAAGATGCTCCATTGGATTGAGATCTGGTGACTGTGGAGGCCATTTGAGTACAGTGAACTCATTGTCATGTTCAAGAAACCAGTCTGAGACGATTCCAGCTTTATGACATGGCGCATTATCCTGCTGAAAGTAGCCATCAGAAGTTGGGTACATTGTGGTCATAAAGGGATGGACATGGTCAGCAACAATACTCAGGTAGGCTGTGGCGTTGCAACGATGCTCAATTGGTACCAAGGGGCCCAAAGAGTGCCAAGAAAATATTCCCCACACCATGACACCACCACCACCAGCCTGAACCGTTGATACAAGGCAGGATGGATCCATGCTTTCATGTTGTTGAAGCCAAATTCTGACCCTACCATCCGAATGTCGCAGCAGAAATCGAGACTCATCAGACCAGGCAACGTTTTTCCAATCTTCTATTGTCCAATTTCGATGAGCTTGTGCAAATTGTAGCCTCAGTTTCCTGTTCTTAGCTGAAAGGAGTGGCACCTGGCGTGGTCTTCTGCTGCTGTAGCCCATCTGCCTCAAAGTTCGACGTACTGTGCGTTCAGAGATGCTCTTCTGCCTACCTTGGTTGTAACGGGTGGTTATTTGAGTCACTGTTGCCTTTCTATCAGCTCGAACCAGTCTGGCCATTCTCCTCTGACCTCTGGCATCAACAAGGCATTTCCGCCCACAGAACTGCCGCTCACTGGATATTTTTTCTTTTTTGGACCATTCTCTGTAAACCCTAGAGATGGTTGTGCGTGAAAATCCCAGTAGATCAGCAGTTTCTGAAATACTCAGACCAGCCCTTCTGGCACCAAAAACCATGCCACGTTCAAAGTCACTCAAATCACCTTTCTTCCCCATACTGATGCTCGGTTTGAACTGCAGGAGATTGTCTTGACCATGTCTACATGCCTAAATGCACTAAGTTGCCGCCATGTGATTGGCTGATTAGAAATTAAGTGTTAACGAGCAGTTGGACAGGTGTACCTAATAAAGTGGCCGGTGAGTGTATCTGTTAATGCAGCCGTAAATATCTGTGAATGGCATTGAGCTTTAGTTTATGATATGAATCCATATGCCATAATTAGGTGTTGGTGTCTGCAGGTGTAGGTTACCGCTGGTGTCAGAGACGTGGTGCTCATCTGAGCTTGACTCCCTCTGGATCACAAATGTTGATCATCAGTTTGATTGTTTCTTCAGAAACCACAATATCTGTCTGAATGACCCGCTGATACATCCACCGATAACCCTGCAGATGACCAGCTTCAGTCATTTCCCCCTCCACAAAAGCAGCTTTATGACCTTATTTACTTCATGACTTCATTCTCCTAAATTTACAACTTTAATCTCTAAATCTTAAAAGAAAAAAAAAACTCAAGGTTGTCCCGATCCTCTGCTGTAGTTTTGTCAGCTTTCTTATTTCTAAAGTTTTTGATAGTTGATAGTCGTCTCTAAATCTATAATGTTTGGTTTGCAGATTTTAGTGAGTTCAGAGATCATGCTCTCATACAGCCTAGGCTGACTGTCTGCTGTTTTTGGATTTCTTGCATTTTCTTTAAAGACGCGCTGTGTCTCCAAGCGAGTCCAGTCTCTCACCTGAAATGCACAGCTGTGCAGCGGCACGCAAAGAATTCTGGGATACCAACGGCACGAAAGCATGCATAAATGCACGCTTAAAAAAGGGACGGGGGCAGTGTGGTTTTGAGACCGAATTTGAAGCGCGCTAAGCATTTTGTGCCAAACGGGACACCGTTCGTGCCGCGTGATGACCTCACGCACGCTTCAAATGCGCCGTTTGACGGTTGCTGTCACTGAAATGGGACACAGGAAGGGTACATAACGCCGCATAACGACACATAACGGCACATAACGGCAGATGGGGTCTCTGAAATGAGACACAGCCTGAAGCTCGGGTGTGTCCTGTGAATCGGCCTCAATCTTCAGTTTTAAGACAGTCATCTGAATAACTTGCTGCTGTTTGATTTGATAGCAGACAGTCAAAAAGTGGACTGTTGTAGTGCCTTCACAACAAAAACAGATAAAATCATTCACATTGATGAGTTACATGTAAAGTCAAAGCAAAGATGCCTGTCGACACAAATGATACAAATGAGGCTGAGCGCAAGAGGTGGCGCCAATAACGTGAAGTGACAATGTGTTCAAATGCTCTAAATTTGCATTGTGTCTAGCACTCTCCTTGCTTCATTTACTCATTTGAAACATTTGAACTCAAACCAATGCTCGAGCTACCATAGCCAATAAGCATTGAGTTCCCTGCTGACATTTGTCAACAACAGACAGATAAACAACACCCTGGTTGGATCACCGTATTTGTGTTACTGATGTTCATGACTGTCTGGGACATTTTGTTTGGCTTGGAGACAACAGATCACATTCCAGTTTCAATGACGCTGAATATGGAGCATCTCCATGAGCTGACTGGTCAAAGCTAAGACAAGGTGATCTTCGGTATTACAACTCTCTGATCGCTCAGAATCTGAGTAATGTTAAAATAAAACAATCAGACCCAAGAACTCAACAACACTGACTGTTTAAATGTGACAGGATATTTAGATCCCAGACGAGCCCCCAAACTGTATTACGCTCCTCTAGCTGATCACAAGAAAGTACCATAAACAATCAAGGAGGAATTCCAGTGAGTGAATTATTTATTTTACAAAATCAGGTAATGAACAAAAGGTAATCAAAGGTGGGAGAGAAAGCAGACTGTGTGGGGAAGAGTGCCAAATAAATGAACTGAAGATAACAAAACAGGGCCTAACTTCACACTTTCTGAGACAAAGAAACTGCAACAAAAAAGGCCTAACTGACTGGCTAAAAAAAGACCCTCAAAACATACACAGATGGCACCAACCCATAACCTAGTGCACTATACAAAAATGTGACTATGTGCTGTACAATGTAAAGGGTACCCCAACCTACCTCAGTCTTACCCACCTCCCACCACAACTCAAATGTCTTTACAATGTCTCATTCAAAATGTTACAAGGTCGCAGAATCCGAATCAGCTGTCAGAGAGAGCCAGAGCAGACAAAGGGAGAGGCTTTAAAGATGGCTTCCCTCTAACGAGCCAGGTGAGGGGTAGCCAGCCCCCAATCACAGCCTCTTCACATGTCACATGGAAGGGCATGCAGCCATCTTGTTCCCGGGCCTCCCTACATGCAGAGAAAAAGAAAGAGAGACAAATGCTGCGTCTGAATTGCCAAGTAGTAGTCAAAGTAGTAGTCGAAGTAGTATGTAGCATGTCCGAATTGGCCACCGGAGCGAGTAGCATGCTACTTCAGATACTACTTCAGATACTAGACATGCCCAGACATTGTAGGATGGTCGCGGTGCATCCTACAGGCATGCTACTGACCCAAAATGCACCGCGGGCTTCTTCTTCGTCCTCTTAAAAGTTGTAGAAGCGCATGTGATGCTAGCGCCACCAGCTGCTGCCTATTTAGATGCATCGCGAACGCCGGCTGGCCACAGCAGCGCGCATCATGGCGAAGCAGCAGCAGGCAGGACCGCAGCAGTACAGATGTAAGTTTCATATAGCTTCGCACACTGTCCTAAAAAATGTGCGGTTGTCCCCTTTGTCATGTCATGGTGTCATATTTGCCCAAGTAATCATTTTATGAGCAAATATGTGGCGACATCATCAATCAATCAATCAATCAAACTTTATTTATATAGCACCTTTCATGCTTTTAAGCTGCAACACAAAGTGCTTTACAAAGAGGTAAAAACAAACAACGTTAAAAAAAAGAAAAAACAAAACAAACAACAGTAAATATAGGGCACTTAAATAGGCATAAAACCCGTCCCTTCCCACCCACAGCAGCACATACAGGCATGCACAGCAGCCCACCCCACACACACATACACGCACACACGTATCCACACACCCACACAGTAACTGTCAGTAAAAACATGGCAAGGCACTGATGATTCTGGTAAGGAAAGACCACCTATGGGAGCCGTCCACACCGAGAGGAGCCACAGCCCACCCCCACAGGGAGCACCGCCCCCGAGACCCCCCGACCCAGACAGCCCGGGTGCACCCTGCACATAGTGCAGAGCCCCCTAACCGTCCGGGCCTGGACGATCCCAAGGACCGCGCCCCCCGGGGGCGGACCAGACATACCTCCCAGTGTGGAGGGCCCCCACGAGGAAACTCTGGAGCTAAAAAGACTAGGACATAGAAGGAATTAAAATAATATTAAAATATCTAAATGACGTAAAAATGTGATAAAAGTAAAGGATAAAATAAACTAAAACTAAATTAGAATAATGTTAGAATATCTAAGTGACATAAAAATGTGATAAAAGTAAAGGATAAAATAAACTAAAACAGTTAAATCAGCTAAAAGCCAAACTAAAAAGGTGGGTCTTGAGCCTCCTTTTAAAAACATCAACAGTCTCTGCGGTCCTGATGTTCTCTGGCAGGCTGTTCCATAACTTTGGGCCATAATGGCTGAAGGCAGCCTCTCCGTGAGTTTTGGTTTTTGTATGAGGAACAACTAAAAGGCCGGCGCCAGAGGACCTCAGGGTACGCGAGGGTTGATAAGATAAAAGCAGTTCAGATCAATAAGATGGGCCAAGACCATTAAGACACTTAAAAACTACTAAAAGAACCTTGAAATCGATCCTGAAACACACGGGGAGCCAGTGCAGGGATTTTAAAACCGGTGTAATGTGCTCCCGCCCTCTGGTCCTTGTCAGCACACGTGCTGCAGAATTTTGTAGCAGTTGTAACATGTGAGTGGTCTTTTTGGGAAGACCAGAGAGCAGGGCATTACAGTAATCTAAACGACTAGAAATAAAAGCATGCATCAGCACCTCCGTGTTGGCCTGAGAGAGAAACGGGCGGACTCTGGCTATATTCTTAAGATGGTAAAAACCTATCTTTGTTATGTTCTTGATATGTGGAATAAAATTCAGCTCAGAGTCAAAAATTACGCCCAGATTCTTAACAGATTGAGCAGGTTTAAAATCTTGTAGTTTTGGTGAAAGTTTCTCTCTCTTGCCTTCAGGACCAATAATTAAAACTTCTGTTTTGTCCTGGTTGAGCTGTATGAAATTCTCTGCCATCCATGACTTGATATCTAAAATGCAGTTAAAAAGGGCATCAATAGGCCCTGTGTCCTCAGGAGACACGGCAATGTACAACTGTGTATCGTCAGCGTAACTATGGAAGCTGATGCCGTGTCTCCTGATGACGTCCCCAAGGGGAAGCATATAGAGATTAAAAAGTATTGGACCTAAAATTGACCCTTGGGGCACCCCACACTTAATTTCATGAGTTTTTGAGGAACAGGTATCCATACTTACAAAGAAGGATCGTTCCAAGAGATAAGAACTGAACCAGTTAAAAACAGTACCGGAGAGGCCCACCAGGTGCCTGAGTCTGCTTAATAAAATCTGGTGATCTACTGTGTCAAAGGCAGCGCTTAGATCCAGTAGTACCAGAACTGTGAGTTTCTGTTTATCGGCATTACACCTGATATCATTTAAAATCTTTAAAAGGGCTGTCTCGGTACTGTGGTTCATCCTAAAACCGGATTGATACTTCTCTAAGATATTATTACTTTTTAAGAAATAATTTACTTGGTTAAAAAACAGTCTTTCTAAGATTTTACTTAAAAACGGTAAGTTGGATATGGGTCGATAATTATTAAAAACATCAGTATCCAAATTTCTCTTCTTCAGAAGGGGCCTCACCACCGCCGTTTTAAAGGCAGTGGGGAAGACCCCTGTCTGAAGAGAGCAATTTACTATGGTTAAAATCTGTTCCTCAAAAAAATCGTAAAATGTTTTTAAAAATGATGTGGGAATCGGATCTAAAAGGCAGGTAGTTGGGTTTACTTGGGAGAAAACTCGACCAAGTGTCCTTGCGTCAACCAGGGCAAAACTCTCCAGTGTTTCCTCAGGTAAAATCGGCTCTTCATATGTGTTGGAAATCACATTCTGATGAGTTAAAAGACTAGATCTAATATCATCAATTTTGCTCCCGAAGTGGTCTGCAAAGTCCTCACAGAGGGCGTCTGTGGGGGTCTTAAAAGATTTTTTAAAATGGGAGTTTGTTAAAAGGTCGATGGTGGAAAAGAGGAATTTGGAATTGTTTTTATGGTCTGTGATGAGTTTTGAAAAGTGGGCTGTTCTTGCCTTTTTTACTGCATTGTTGTATTTTTTGAGTGAGTCCTGTAGTATTTCGAGGTGAACTGTTAATTTGGTTTT